AACGCGTTCCTCCCCTTCCTCTGCTGCAGCAGATGCCCCCCAAAAACAGGATTGCAATCAGGGCCAAGGGAAGAAGAGTCCCAAGCGGATCGGACCAGCATCGGAACGGAGCCGGTGGCAATACCTGCGCCGACTCCAACCGACGTGGACTTCCTGAACACCATCCACTATTGGAAGATCGTGGACGCTAGCAAAAAGGAGTACTTCGAACCATTTGTGTGTGAGAAAAAAAACATCCTCTGGGCACCTTGGACCGCACCAGATTGCTCTGCCCTTTGCCGTGATGCTGACCGCCTGTATCCAGCGAAGAAAGATTTCACGCTCACGCTTGAAAAGGAAAGATCTTCGGACTCATAAAGACATTGTTCACACCGGACCATGCGTGAGCGTGCAGATTCCGTGCCAGGGCCACGGGCCATTTTGGGCCAACATTTGGTACTCCGAGAAGAATGACGATCATAACTGCTTTCCATTCACAGTTCCACGCCGTACTGAGCTGCCTCAGTGGTTAATTTACCGTTTCAATACATGCGATTGTGACGTCCATTTTGAGCTCATCGACAACGATATCGTTATCGACGCGTCGGTGGAAGCACCCCCACTCCAAAAAAGTTGCAACTGAGACATCGAGACCGATGAGACGAAGCTCGTTACGACAATCGAAATCCTCGAAGACATTCCTTCCATCTTCGCCAGTCTTTCGCATTGCGCTATGATGAACACCCGCGCGAATGGCAGGAGCGCGCATAGCATTCCGATGTTGATCGCCCCGCTGTGCGAGGTGGACCACGCACGCACGGCAACATACATGGACACATACCACTACGATATTCATATCGAGATACGGCTCCGTTTTGACCCTCCGGCGGATTGGTGCAATATGGTTTTCCAACCCTTTCAGTCAATGGGCCAAGAACTACCGAACGCTTGTGGCCACAATCGTTTCCTGTCTACGATGACGACGGCTATGAATTGGAACGATACTGAGGATTGCGTGCTTTCCCTTTTGGGCACCACATCTTCTTGCCATCGTACAGTGCAATGTTACGCAGCGTTTAGTGGGTACCTCTGCGTCGGATATCCTCAAGCATCACCCCGCTTTGGCGTTTCTCTTCGACCTCTGGGAAACGACGGTGCGCTCCGATCCGAAGTACAGCGACATGCTGACGGACCCACTCAGATATCAGTACAATCTCAGGTCTGACGCCACTCCGCCGCATGCTGAAGTCGCAGACCCTGCCACTGATCCCGGAAGCACAGCGTCGGCCGTTGCTCCTATCCAGGAACAATTCATGGACGTTGCGCACCGACTATGATGATGGCAACGATGGCATGGGCTACGCCTCCGACCAAGTTGCATGGGGCCAGGAGGTTCGCCGCAGAGCACATAAAATTCTGCGAGATCAGGGCGCGGCCTCAGCGCGCCATGCTCGCGACCAGATCGCGGCTGGGAATGTCTCTGATCCGATGACCGATAAGGGATTGGAATCTCTGGCTTTCGATCTGGCCACTGATCGCGCTCACCTCGTCCCAAATCATGCTGTTCGTGATCTCGGCCGTAATTTGAGCGCTGGTGGCAACGTTCGCAATCGCATTCAGGAGCTCATTGAGAGCGGTGCGGCTGATTTGCTGACCGCAGAGCGTCATTATTCTCGCTGCTGCCGCGACCTCCCCAATAGCGTCACGCTCGAAGAGGACCTGTGCCACGCGTGCACTGAGTCATTTAGACATGGGGGAACAGGTGCGTTCCAGGCTCAGTTCCTGACAGATGTGCGCAACTGGATCCGCGAATCAATGGGCGAGAACATCGCGCGCCGGCTTATGCATATGCGCGCGGACGTCCAGATTCGCATCAAGGGGCAGCGTTCTTACATTGCCGCCGAAGAGAACTATCTACGCAAATTGGGCCCACAAAGCCGAGGCGCGGCACGTTAAATGGCTGGAGGCAGGTCGACCGACCCCCGGTCAGCGTCGCATCGGTGGAGAAGAAGACGCTGACAAGGATGGTGCCGTCCTCTACCATCCATGCTCTGATCTGGCCACTCGGCACCACGATGAGACGATCTTCCCCCATCAGACGACCGAGGCCAGGTTTCTGAAGCAACAGCGTTCGTTCACGCTGGAGGACATGCATGAGGGCATGCGACTGCACCATATCAGCGCGCAGTCTGGCCGCGCGGCTGGCGGGCACAGGCTCCCGGAGCGTGGCCTCGCGGCGAACGCCTTGACCGCGGATTCGTGACTTCCTCAGCTCCATCTGGGAGAGGACAAGGTCATATGAATCGGGCCACGCTGAGTGAGCTCCGCCAGCAGGCACCCAAAGGTGCCGCGAAGGGTAGCAAGGGCGACCTCTCAGTTGCCTCTGACGAACCCATTCGCCTCACTCCTGCTCTACCGCCGCGCCGCGATGGCCCCGCCGCCGCCTATGCTCCTTGCGGCGCTGGCTGGGCTGGCGCCGCTGGCTGGATTCTTGGCGCTGGTTCCTCATCGACATCACGCCGCCCCCTCGCGCCACCGAGATGGGCGCCCGACAGCGCTGAAGAGCGCGGCCGCAGCAGGAGCGCCGCAACATCTATACCTGGTGGCGTCGTGATCTCCAACGCCACCAGTGCGATGCGTACCGACGATGGTCGCATTTCCTGTCCCAATGGGCTTGCGTCGACGGTAAAGAGCGCGAATCCATATAGTCATTGAACATCGTCAGGACCATCACCATCAGCTGGTTCAATGACAATGGAAATCGAGTTTGAGATGAACGCTACTACGAGCCGTTCTAGACATGGGTATTGACTGGCATGGTCTTACTGCGTACGTATTTTGGTATATTTTGTATGGCAAGTGATTTTGGAAGTGAACTGACATCGTGGTGTTTATCCTTCATCTGTATCCCGGAATCTATTTGTATGTGTTGATGTAATCGCTTCGCTCATTCCGCCGGCCCGTATTGTGCCGTCGCAGGCGTTTGCTTGCGCGTTCGTGGCCTCTTGGAGCCTCGGTGGGGCCGTTTGGGGCCTCTTGGCGCCTCTTTTTAGGCCTCTTGGAGAACTCGGGAGGCCTCCAGGGGGCCTCCTGAGCTCTCGTGACGGTTTCTTGGGTGGGGGGCTTTCGGCGGGCTCTTGGCGGTATGTGTTGGTCCTCTTGGGGCCTGGGGCCTGACGTTGTTGGTCCTCTTGGGGCCTCGCGGGAGCTTATTGGGGCGTCTTGGGGGTGTCTTGGAGAGTCTCTTGGGGCCTCTTTCGGGGTCCTGGGCGCCTTCTGGGGCGGAGGGCTCGATGTTTCAGTTCTCGGTTCCCTTTTTGAGCCCCTCTTGGGCCCGTCTTGGGGCCTCTTGGTCCGCCTTGGGCAGCACTTGGGCCGTCTGGGGGGCGCTCTTGAGCCGCTCCGGGGCCGTCTTGGGAGCCTCGTGGGCCGTCTTGGAGCAGTCTTGAAGGCCTCTTGGGCCCTCTTGGAGCGTCCGGAAGCGAAAAGGCCAGAACGCAAAAGAAAAAAGAGAAACACAAAAAATGAGAATCAACGATTTTGGCAACTTGGGGCCCTCTTCGGAGGCCTCTTGGAAGGCCCTTGGAGCGTCTTGGAGGCCTCTTGGGCTGTCTTGGGGCCATCTGGGGCGTCTTCGGGCGATCTTTGGCCGTCTCGGGCCTCTCCTGGACCGTCCAGGAAGCTTCTCGGGGCCCTCTTGGACCGATCTGGAGCCCTTTTGGATTCCGAAACAAAACTCCGGCATCTCTGACCCGACCTTGCCGGGGACTTGCCGGGACCTTGCTGGGGTACTTTTCGCCCGGGGACCCCCAGGGGCCGCCCCGCGCGCGCGAACTAGAAATACTGTTAACCAGGTGCCGGAGATCTCAGCGGGCCCACTATCTCGGAATCTTGTCGTATGTGTTTATGTCAGTTTGAGACGTCTGGCGTTACTCACCATATCGATATTGATATTGGCTTGCACGGTGCGCTCTGGCCGTCGGGCATGGGCGCGCCCAGGCAGGTCGCCCGCCAGTATTTTTATACATACGATCAGCGTCTATTTTGATCATGGGGCGGCGTTCGTGTACGACCGATGCATAGAATTTTACCCATGCCCATTTCTCGCGTGTACATTTCAACGTACGTTTGGGGCCTGAAGTGCTTCGCCTCATGCATGATACATTCTCAGAGATCAGTTGCCATCGCAACTATCCTAATACCTTTTACACTTGGGCCTGGAGGGCCCCGGTAATATTTCGGGCCTGGAGTGCCCCGTGAGTGAGAGCCATTCTACTTTGATCGACTTGTCGCCACAATTCCGATCCGCCTCACTTCACGCGTCTACCGCGTCGGCGGCAACACCTGCGTCGAAGGATGCTGGTGCCGCATTGCTGCTCTCTTTGCTTTGCCCCCCCATCCCTGTCACCTGCGGTGACGGAGTGTCGTCCGGGAGTGCCGACAGTGCCGAAGCGTTTTGGGGGGCGCACCCTGGGCCCGCTAAGTCGGGTAGACACTCCGAAGTACCCCGCGTGGCGGGGTTGGTTCTCTCTCTGACCTTTCCTATCCAATGCGCCCTCGTTTGGAGGGGCGGTGGATAGAACGGGCGTTGAGTGGACCTCGCACCTCTGTTCCCGACTCCTGCCGTCGTCTCTCGCGGGCCCGAGGCCATCAGGAACTGGCGCGTTTCGGGGTGGCACGTGCGTGTGCGTGAAGGCCGAGCACTTCCCTACTATATCCTCTCTTACCGCAATTGTATTGGCTCAGGCATTGGCAATGCACGAAAAGTGCAGTGCGTCCCGCGCAGTGCCCTGGAAAAACGAGTCCTACTCCTCGCCTCTACCTACGGACCCCGTGTAGGAACGGCCCCTCGGCCGTCTCCCCATGCGCGCGCTGGGAACCCCGAGTCTCATGTCCCCCGCGGGGTGATCATCGGGGGCGTAGGGGTTGGAGAACAATGCAGTCCTCCGAGAGGAGGCCGGGGATTCGCCCCGATTTCCCGACGATGCGATGCTTTCCGCCCCCGCACCCGCGATCCGCAGGCAGCGCCCGGCCTTCTTCCAGGGGGTACTGATCTTCATGGACCGCTCGATGCTGCAGTCCGTGCGCGCCGGCAGGACCCGGGCAGCGCGCGCGCTCGGTCAACGGACGAGCCGCTTCCCGTGCTTCGTCTTCCCTTGTTTCAGTCTCCTGGGAGGCTGTCGTCGCCACCGTTCGATTCGTTTGGGAATCTCGGTCAGAGCGCACCCGTGGAGAGGCCCAGGGAACAGCAATTTCGGTTCGGTTGGTTTCGCCCCTCGGGCGTCGCAAGTTGAACAGGAGTTTTGCGTATTCGTGTTTGGTTTCCCCGTTGTTTGCTCAGCCTCGTTATATTGGTCTTCTCGTTTTGGACAACGCGCTGCTGGTCTTCATGTTGTTCCCCTCCCCCTCTCTTCCTCCTGTTCCTTGCTTCCCTCCTCCTCCGGTTGTCCTACTTGGGAGATACCAATTGCGCAGACTTCGCCAATTTGGTGCGTTGCTGGGGGCGGGATTGCTTGGAGGCGAAGGGGGATGAAGGGTGATGTGGAAGGGCGGTGAGAGCGCGAGCCTCTCGCAAGGGCAATCGTGAGACTTCCGTTTGTCATCGCAGGCAACATCGCTAGCAAAGATGGGCAATTCTACAAAAAGGCACCCTTGCATGATTGCCTCTTCGGTCAACCGTTGACAGCTCGATTTGCAGCCCCATTCGGCAAGCCTATCCTTATCGCGCATCCTTACTATCAGTCGTGATTGCGCCAGCAGCTACAGACAGCGATCAGTGAGCCCGCACAGCGGGAATCACGGAGTGGGTTGGTCGCAAATCGACCCATCGGTGAGTGTTGTTGTGTGTTTGTTGCCTGGGCACGTGCACGAAAACTTTTTTGGTTCGTCAGGGACAATTACGAAAAGAGGTGTGTTCGGGCCTCTGGGTGTCTTCTGGAACTAATTGTCAGCTCTGTTGGGGCCTTGTTGAGCCATCTTGGCGTACCCTCAGGTTAATTGGGTCGTTTCGGAGGGCCTTGGGGCCATGCGGGGACTCTCGGGGCTATTTTGGGAACTATGCCCAGCAGTATCGGAGGACACTCAGTCGCGGGGTTCCCCAGGACAATCCTGATCAACCAGGTGCTCTGCGTTGGCATGGTCACAGTGCTCTGCAGCACCATCGAATACCAGTACTTTGACAGATTTATGATGCAGGCTGCCTTCGCTGCCCTCTTCCTGATGCTCTTGCACTGCATCGCTGCCCAGCGTGTCTTTGGCCCCGACCTGCTGGTCACCTCGCGGGAAGCCCGCGTCGGCGGCCCGATGGTAGCCTACCTTGTCGCTAAGGACCTCGCGGCTCTCTTCGAGATTACCCTCTCTGCCATTGTCTTCACGGCAGCCTACGGCATCCTGAGCGGTGTCCATTTCTCTCTCGCCAGACTGTTCTCGGGATCCTGGGCCTTTCTGTACTCTGTCTCGGGCATGAGCTACATCTACAGCATCACCATGTCCCCAGGCTCGGCCCAAATGTGCGGCGTCGGCAGCTCCGTCATCGCCTTCTGCATGGCAGGAGCTCGGGCGGACAGCAGAGGAACCACAGACCGCACAACAGAACAGTTCCGAAGGTCCGAGCCGACTCCTCGGTTGGTGCGGTGCTGGACCCTTCTCCCCCGCCAGAAGCGCCGCCGGGGGGGGCGGGGGGAGGGAGGGGGGAGCGCAGCGCCGACACAAGGAATTCCGCATGGACCTCCGAAAGGGGCCACTAACCATAGAGCGCCAGTCATACCAGGTAGCTTCGGACCCACGAATTCCAATATACTTTGGGTGCCTCCCCATTTTGACGCCCCGAATGGCTTTCAATACTCCTTCCCTCTCAATGAGCCTTTGGAAGCCCAAACTACTGTCAACGTTTCCCCACGTCATTGCTCACCGATTGCGCGCAAGCCCGCAAGGGCACCACAAAATCGACCTGGCTCGCTACTTGTTGATCTCGGTTACGTCCAGCCTGCGCAGAACAATCGGCCAGAATTGGAGACAGGGCGAACGGCTCCTTCTTGCACGGCTCCAGCTCCCGAGAGTGAAATGTCTGAATCAATTGGTGCCGGATGCGGCGAGGAGTGCACGTACATGTGCCTGATGGCTCAAGCCGCGTGAAGCGAAAAAACACGTCCCCGCTTCATGTTTCAGCACACGTCGTTCAAGCGATTGGTAGGGCACAAATTTTAAGGCACCGGCCATAATGCAGCAGCCACGGTGCACCAGCCACAGGGCACCAAGCGGAGGGCGCCAACGACAGTGCGGCGTTCTGAGGGCACTAGTCATTGTGACGTCAACGCGCAGTCAGTGGGGGGGAGGAGGAGGAGGAGGAGGAGGAGGAGGAGGAGGAGGAGGAGGCAGGAAAAGGAGGAGGAAGAAGAGGAAGAGCGGCCTCGGGGGGCGGAGTCAGCATCCCACCATATCTCTGAGCCTCCGCCGTCGCCCGCACTCGGCGGGCGCCTTCCATCAGCTCACGGCAGCGCGCATGCCGAGCTTGAATCCGGCCATGGCATAGATAGAACGGCCTCCATATCTGAATTCACAGTTTTGCAAGCCAGGCGGCCAGCTCATCCTCCATGATTCCCGCCGCCTTGCTCTCCTTTACCACTGCACCAACTTGAAGGAGGGCTCTCGGGACGGTGTTATTGACATGGTACGTACTTCTTCTGCTCGTCTGTCGGGTCCTCCTCGTTCTCTGCGTCCGTCCAGGCGCCTTGCTCAATGAAAATGGTGAGCTTCGCCATGTTGGAGTCGCAACGTTTGCTGACCCAGATGTGTTTGACTTTGCGTGACACCGTCGCTGCGTGGATCTTGTCCGGGAATGTCCCATGCTCCGTGAGAACTGTTCGAGTCTTCGGCCTGTGCCATTCGTACAGAGGGTCGAACTACGCGTCATGTAGATGGTCCTCTGATGGCCCTAAATCGTGTCCTCTCCCCGTCTGCTTGGACTTGTCCGCGTAGACCTTCTGCAGGTCTTGAGCGCTTTGATCGGGCCGCTCTGCAAGGTCTTGAGGATGTCGTCCACGTATAAGTAGACTGAGAGGCCCATCGTCTTGTGAGTGATGGGGGAGAGCGGCGAACGGCTCTGAGATTGCGTGATATCGTCCAGCCATTGGCCGATTGGTTGCTCTTAAACAACACGGAATGACGTTGGTCCTGTGGTGCATCCAGGCAGATTTCCATATTCCATTGTGACATCGTCAAATTTGTCGAAGCCGTTGGTCTTGACAGTGGCGCGCTTATATCTGTGAGCGAACATATTATGTTCCGTGTCTGCCTAGCACGTGGGTATTATTTGTACAGTTGTGCCGATCATAGTGTTAGGGGGCGCGTTGGTGGCGTCCTTGCTGCATACGATGAAGTCGAGACTCGCCCGCTGGAGTCTGGATGCGACGATACGCGATGCAGCGATGGGATCTGCTCTCCTACGATGTGGCCAGCAGCCGTGAGCATGCGGTGAAGGAGGCCGTGGCGTTGATTGGCATTCTAGTTGACAGTAAACGCATCGCCAACGGGTTAAGCATGTGCAAAACACGTAGATCTGGAACTGCGGGCTTAGCGTTCATCTTGTCGAGCGTAAAACTCTGGCTGTGATGAGCACCCAGTAGAGCAAAGACGCCCCTGTAGGTGCGATTCTAAAATACCTTCAAAGCACTTGTCTGTCCGCGGCGGTTCGATCAACTCCTCGTAGCACCCGAGGCCCAGGGTCTGCGGCTGCCTCTTTGTGATGGCCGTCGGCTGCAAGATGATCTGGAATAGGCCTGCCGGGCGCGACCATTCAGGAACCAATCTGCCCGCTTTTTGAACTACTCTAGGCGCTTCTAGTCCCCGTGGACAGCTTGCCTATGCTGTTCTTCGCGTCGTAGTATGCTGCCTTGAGCTGCTGCTGGGGCTCGTCGTCGAAGTCGTGAGTGTTTTCTTGGCGTAGGCGTTTCTCTTCGTCAGGGGCGATAGATAGGGCTTGAAGTCCTCTTTGAGCACCAGCCTGGGACACATGTTGTGACCTCTCTGCGAGACTGGGTCTTGAACGTGTAGCTCTGCTGTCTTTGCGGTTCCTCCTGCCATGGATGAGGCTTGCCACGCACTTGCTGAATCGATGCACTTTTGCAGGCTGGATTTTTGTTGTGATTCGAGTATCCGTGCCTCGAGGGATCTGTTCCTTCCCGCGTCGTGGAGTTGCTGCTGCTTCTTGATCGCCCCAGTGGTAATGTCCACCCTTTCTTCTCTGTGCACATCGAGGTGTGTGCCGATGGACTGCTTGCGTGGTTCTGCTCTCTTCTTCTGTAGTGTCAGTTTTTCGGCCGTGAGCTGCTTGCTGGTGCCTGCCTTGTTTTTCCTCCGCTCGAAGGAGGGTTTGGCAGTGGATTTAATGGTCTCTGTCATGTAGGTCCAGTGCGCGTCCGTCGTGCTCATAGCTTTGAGCTCGCGTATGGTCTCGACAGTATTCGTCATTGCACTCTCTAGCGCTGCAATAAAATCTGTACGGTATTCACCTGCCTGCAGGGATTCCGCCATGTTGTCAAAATCCTAGGAAGGGCGCGCCATAGCTGTAAAGTTGTTTGGCATGATGATATCTGCGCTCGCGATGAGAAGTACGTGGTCGCGAGGCACGTTGTCCTTAATGTGCAGAACTGGTTTCGATGCGTTGCACCAAACTCCGCATGACTTGAGATGAGCAAGGGGGTCCTTTCGGAAGAGCAATTTCGTCAGGTCTAAGCTTGGCCTTCGTTGCCGAAGTAGGTGGGTCCAGGTGGCCAGAGCGTGTACGCCCATCATGCTGTAGAAGGCAGCTGCTGCTTCTCCTGGCCTGCTTCGTGGTTGCGAATCCCCGACGACACTGTTGCCCCTTGCTACTATGCGTCCGTCCTCTCCGTAGTGGTCCTTGAGGGACAGGTCTGTGGGAGGGGTGCTGCGCGTGGGTGTAGCGCTGAGAGCACTGTTGGCCAGTCTGAGCTTCTCGTTGACCGTGTTGACCCACTGGTTGTGTTTTGCTGCGAGCCCTGACCGAGAACAGAGGTAAGCAGCTACGAACGTCAGGTCGAACTCGCCCCTCTTTATGCGGAGAGCACCTGCTCGTCCTTGAATATGTTTGGGCGGGCTCTTGATGTCGACGATTGCGCGAGGACCGAACGTTTTCCGATTGACCATGGTAGCGGCACCAGCGTGATTGTTGGGGAGAGGTCTTCTGTCGTAGCCCGACGTGTAGACGGTGTACTTGATCGATTGGAGTTGTTCTACATCAGAGCTGCTGTCGTGCTGGCGTCAGCGCGTCGCTAGAAGCATCATCACGTCCACGGCGCTGAAGTGGTGGTTGATCTCGAGGCAACGGTGCGGGGCCTGCATGGGCAGCGGGTTGCGCACTCCCCAGCTGAGACACAGCATGCTCCAGATCATGCGTATGAGGGATCTGGAGGCCAGCCAGGCTGGCATGACATGGACGGCGCCTTGGGCGGGCGGAAACTGCTCTGCGCGCAGAGCGTGCTGGACCGCTGGGGATTTGGCCTGAGCAGAAGCGGCGCCTGAGGAGGAGGAGGAGGAGGAGGAGGAGGAGGAGAAGGAGGGAGGATGATGAGGAGGAGGAGGGGGAGGAGGAGGAGGAGGAGAAGGAGGGAGGATGATGAGGAGGAGGAGGGGGAGGAGGAGGAGGAGGAGGAGGAGGAGGAGGAATACGGCGGGGAGGGGGAGGTTTTTGTTTTTTTTGCCCCGCAGGGTAAAACTCAAACCTGTTTATCTATGGAGGAAGCTGGCGGCCTCCTCTTCAGCCTCAAGGTCAAGCTCTGGAGCAAACGGCTCCTGGGCCTGTCCCTGCATCCCCTGGAGGGGCTCCTGAGCAGATCGCTGCTGATCTGGAGCCCTCAAAACATGATCCTGAAAACCAGCCGCCTCCTCTCGTGCTGCTATCCGCTGCTTCAACCTCTCCAGTCCTGGAATTAAACTGCTGCCTGGAAGATCAATGGATGGGCACTGAAACCACACAGCACGCTGGGGGCGCTGTTGGGTGTCCAGAAGCCTCTGACGCTCCGCATCACTTAAGATATGGAGCACAACACCTGGGGCAGCTCGATTGGACTGGGGGTGCAGACCACGGAGCATACGATTGAGGCGGCACTTGCTCGCAGAGGATACTACAAATCCACGACGCTGCTTTTCCAACTGGTGGCTGAGGCGCTCTGTGCTGTAGGCGCCCCACCGCCTGCAAAATACAAGATTGGGACCTGACGACAGCCGTGTATAGACCAGATCATGTCCGAGCATCGGGCGAGCGAGAAAAGAGAAATTCTGTCTCCTTCCAGGGCACCCCGACATATCAAGTGAAGCCGCATTCGTGCCTGTACGACGTGCATGGCAAACATGACAGATGACAGAGTCAGGTGCGCCAGGCACTGCTGTCCAAGCATGCCAACGGTGCGCGCCCGTACTCCTTGGCCGAGGAACCTTCTTACGCTCAGGGAATTGGGATGACGGGAAGAGGGGCAGCACAGAGCCCATCACCCTAGCCACAGCACGGACCTTGCCAATCGTGGCGTTCAATTC